TCGTTATAATATCTCCTCTTCGGAGGATGCTGATATACAATGCAAAGAGTGTCGAAGTCTTCTATAGACAACTCACACCGAGGAAGTGTACCTACATAAAATAGACAAGTTAAATTTTGACCCGAAAGGGATGGATATGCAAGTAAATCCGAAGTTTTAGTACTTACTAAGAGTTGAGTATTTTGTTGGTGCTGTCAGGGGCGTAGTTGGTCCCCCTCTATCGTATCCCACCTCCATGAAGCCTAGCAGCACGAACTCTTCTAGTCTTTTATGGAGCTCGACAGGTCGAGAACGAATGGAGTATGGGTCTCCCAGGAGATCAAGTAATACCACCCCTTCGTTTCATCCCCCCCTCACTGCAACCTTAGCTATATACATAGTTTGGAAGACAAAGAAGGGCATCTCCTCTCCATAAGACGCCTCCTTCCATAACATCCACGAACCCACCATATGGCTCCAAGAGTTTGGGTTTAACTGAGTAGGGGCTAAGCTATAGGACCTCAACACATACCGAAAGAAGGGAGGTATTGGTAGCTTGAGCCCCGCCCTAAGGATGGCCTCGCTAATCGCCACACACCCCAGCTTAGGGTAGCAGGCTCACTCGGTCCTAAGTTTAGCCAGGTCGTTCGATTTTAATTTGGAAGGATAGTCATAAGCCCCCAAAGAACTGAAGTGTCTACAGGACTATCTGGTCGTCTCCAGTTATTCTCCTTCCCTATAATTACCTCAAAAATCTCAGTCGAAGTGACCAAAATGGGCTCATCTACCCTAACAACCTCCAAGTCTCCTCCAGAACACCCACTATCCTCAGAGGCCACATTTTTAAGAAAAAATTGTGATGACTCAAGAATACTTACGAAAGTCAACCGGAATGGGTGTCCTAACACCGAAAACCTCAAAACCAACACCTTAAATTCTTCGAAAATTGCAGAAAAACTCAAACTCACCAAAAATCGCTAAGAAATTTTGAGAACAATAGGGATTCTCTGAGTTCGAAAAAGTGAAAACGTTCGAATGGTACTAAGTTATCCTTTTATAGGAGACCTCAGACGATCCCACAGTTGAATTCAATTGGTTTCGATCTAAGCCGTTCGCCGTACCACAAATTTGGACCGTTGAAATGAAATACCAAATTTGATCAACAACCAAGATCCGCCTGTGTCCCTCACGAACGCATAAAACGCGTCACCTCGAACAACAACAGCCGTCAGCCATAAGTAGCCGCAACAGCCATTTTTCTAGGGACAGGCATCACATCCAATTGGCGTCTTGAAAATACGCGATAGCTATCACATCGATTAACGTCATAATAAGGCACTCTAGATCAAGGCCAAGTTGTCCTAATTAGCCTGGATGACGTACTCATCAGCTTTTTAGAGCTTCGACGCACCTGAGGTTCTTCGCCTCGGACGCTGCGTCTCCAAACTTTACAAAGCTTAAGCCATTTCCCAACGCGTCGTCTCCTGTAGGTCAACGCACCTGAGGTTCTTCGCCTCGAACGTTGCATCTCCAATCTTTACAAAGCTTAAGCCATCTCTCAACGCGTCGTCTCTTGTGGGTCAACGCACCGATTGCAAATAGATTCTTCTTCAACTTTTTAGAGCTTTAACACACCTGAGGTTATCCGTCTCGGACACTGCGTCTCCAAGCTTTACAAAGCTTAAGCCATCTCCCAACGCGTCATCCCCTGTGGATCAACTCACCGATTGTAGATACGCTTTTTCCTCAGCTTTTTAGAGCTTTGACACACCTGAGGTTCTTCACCTCGGACGCTGCGTTTCCAAGCTTTACAAAGCTCAGCCATCTCCCAAAGCGTCATCTCCTGTGGGTCAATGCACCGGTTGCAGATACGCTTCTTCCTCAGCTTTTCAGAGCTTCGCCTCAAACGATGTGTTTCCTAGCTCTTACAAAGCATAAGTCGTCTCCCAACATGTCATCCCCTGTGGGCCAATGCACCGAGGTGTAGATGAGCTCCTTAAGCCCCCAGCATCATGGCTCATACACTTTGACTGAAAATTAACTGCCCTTCGCGATTTAATGAACTACCAACCAAGACGAGCCCCTACCAGCGTCGCTTCAGTTTTAACAATACATTCCACCCACAAAGTCTTCGACGCATCTACTCGCTTTGCACTTTAACGTTGACACTTCACCAAATATTGCAAATATCCTCTTAAGGTCCGCACAATCAGATAAATAAGTCCACCCATGATATGAATATTCATGCCTGAACTTGGAGGACCACTGTTATGCCCCGTACTAAACCACTTCGGCAATAGTGTCCCTCTTGTCTACGAAGTGCCACATGTCCCAACGACGTGGTTTCGAAGTGGTGTCGACTTCAGTCGAACTCCAACTTAATGCATCACAAGGCACACACTTTTTAAACTAAATGTACTGAAACGAACGAAACGTCCCCTATAACTGAAGCGCTTGGCTATCCTAGGTGCTCCCTTAACAGACACCTCCGTCGCCATTTTCAGAAGCATATCTATGTCAGGATCCCCTATGGATGTGACATCTCCATGGGTCTAGGTGATGTGACATCAACTTTATGTCAACTCAATTTAGGAGAATTAATAACCCGCCCACTCTAGACGCGACTGATTAATGCTTACGAACAAAAGTCTCAGGCTGTCAAGATCCATACACGTGTCCCACATCCAACAATGCTCATCGTCTATAAATACTCAAGGTTTGGCAAGAGGCAAAGATAAACTCATACTAAGCTAAGCTCTCCACATTCAAGCATTATATATTCTCTTCCCTACTCTTTTACACAATTTCGGCACTGTTCCAATCATCGACCACTGACTTAACCGTCGGAGTGTATGCGGCTGCCGCCACCCCACTTGATTTCGACCGTGTGTTCCTGATCGTGCGTTGTTGTGTGAAGGGAGGAACACATGGAGTGGCTCTCGGTTGGCCACGTGGAGGTCCAATTCGCAAAGTCAACACCATACATTCTCTCAATAAAATAATTTTGCACGTAAATCAAAACTATTTGAATAAGATTGCAAAGTGCAAGTGCGTTGCAGGTTATCGTACCCACAGTGTCAAGCGACACAAAGAATGTCTTTTTAATCCCCAACTATAGTTGATGTAATACGAATGTAAAAGACACATATGAATGGTTATAACATAAGATATAACAAGAGTAAATATATAGATCCATGTTTTCCTTTCATTGTACCTGTGGAAAATGGTGAAGTATCATTTTTTTTCCTCTTATTTTTGTTAAGTGCACTTACGCCAACAACATTCAAAGAGGTATATCATAGTATCTCTAAGGCATATTTGATAACCTTGTGCATTCGTTATTGGTGGAGGACAAATACATTTAAAAAAAAGGAAAGAAGAAAAAATGCAACATAGTAACGCGAAGTCTGTGTTTTTATTAGCGCAAAAGAATCCCTAATAGTAGATACAACTCAATGGAACATTCATAGGCTGTCACATAATCTTTAATCTTTTTTTCCTATTTCCTTTTTATTGTACAAAATCACCCTCGAAGACCCAAAAATTACAAACCCTTACAGAAACTTTACAACACGAACCAGATCACCAAAGGCATCAAAATTTAACAAAACAGGCTCAGACTATATTGTACATTTCTGTATCACACTGATGCCACAAACCACTCTTCTCATACAGAATCAAAAAAGACGCCAAAGATTCACTCAAAATACCCAAAAATTGTTCACATGGAGGTTGAAGGCGAGGAGAGAGGACAAAACAAGGACAGAAAGAGAAAACCCTATTTTTCTCGAAGAAAATCAGACATCTGATATTAACTAGGAAACAGTAGAAGCCTTTTGGGCTCACTTGTGAAATTATCAAACAATAGCAAACGGACTGGATTGGATCATAACATGCCAACTTATCTATTGGATTGAATTTTGGCATTACAACCCAACACTTTCTTCTATCATTTTTCTTTCTTTCTTTTTCTTCTTCTTCTTCTTTTTTTTTTTTTCTGGGACTCAGTGAGCAACTAGTGCAGGCAGCAGAACTAGAGAATCAAGCTCCGCACGAGCCACCTCGTTAGACAGTCCAATGGACATTTAAACCTCTAGAAGTGGAACATTTAGAGGTATAAATAAGGTCAAACTAGCTACTTGCACTCACCATACTAGGTATGAGTCTCTTGGTCTGCGGCCTACATGGGTCCGTCCAAGAGAATCACTTTCTAACCTTTCATTCTTGTAAAACAAGAAAAACACCCAACAATATCCTTTGAAATCTCTAGCTAAAATTCTAAGGAATCATCCTAACAAAGGTTTCATTCTTGCTACATACTTTTGCTTTAACCAATATATATCATCTTTTTGGTTCATAACTTATAAAGCAATAAATTACTAATTAAATCAAACCTTAAGCTCTATGGACCCCATCAACATGTGAATTCATATCATCTCATTACAATAGCATCCAAGACACTTAGTCCCCACCCCATCACCTCTCATGATTCCCAGCGTGACCGCCAAAAGCTAACATCTTTCCAACACCAATCACATGCCCCCCAATTCCATTTCATACTCTCCACTGCCCCCACATAACTTTGTACCCCCTAAATTTCTCCAAACGATTCACCATCATCAAGTCTTCATTCATTGCATGCAATGCCCTAATTCAACAAAGAAAAAAAAAAAAAAAAAAACTTCGATATACGATTTTATACTGATAATTGAGATAAATTGGATTCCTACTCTTTTGTCATGTTTTGTTGTTTCATAGTAACATATTAACATCTCACTACAATTTTGAAGTATCAAAATTTTAGAGATACATTTTTAAGATTGTACATAGTTATGATGTTCACTGAAGTTTTGATACTTCGAAATTGCAGCAATGTGTCAAGATTTTATTTTAAGGGTAATAAAAATGAAACAACAGATCTATAGAAGTCAAAATGACTCAGCTTTAATAATATTAATATATTTTGAAATGAAACATACTTTCACTAATCTTGATACCCATTACCTATTGAGGTCACTTATTGATCTCTCCTTTATAATTTTTCTAAAAAGTCGTGAACCAAAAAGTTCGCCAAAATCAACTTTATTTTGCATGAGATGCATTACTTTTATCCTTTTGAGCTTATATGTATGATGGAAAAGAAATAAATGTTTCGTATGATCAAAGTTGAAATATGAGCATGGAAAAAAGCAGATCGTATCCCCAGTACTCTTCCTCTTGCTCAACTGAATTTGGGTATGGGTTTCAAGATCGAGCAAATTCGTACATTTTTAATGGCCCAAGCACGAAAGATGAAGCTTTCGCGGCATCAAATGATCCCGAAATGAAGAGGAAGAAGAGGATTGCTGCATATAACATGTTTACTAGAGAAGGTAAAGTTAAAGCATCTGTAAGAGAGAGTTTCAAGTGGATTAAGAGCAAATTTGATGATATCAGGTACAGAGTGTAAGCTCTACATTTGTCGAATTTTTCATTGTCTGGTGGATTATTTGATTGTAAAGAACGTATTTTTCAAATAATTAAATATGAGTTCCATGCTTAACGTGTATTCTTTCTTTCCTGTTAGACAATGCACTTGAATATCGACTGCTAAAATAAAAAATAAATAAATAAAGACTGACTAATCTGTTCCTTTGATGACGAAAAAGTATGCAATATGCAAGGAAAAGAATAGTGACTTTTTTTTTTAAATTTTGTACAATAAACTTCCTCTATTAGATTATCAGTCTTAGCATTGTCCATTGAAACACTATAGTTTTATACTTTTAAATTATTAATTATAAGGGAAAACACGATAGCAAAAATTAAGTTGAATAACATGTAAAGATATCTCTGTTCAGTCTTCCAAATCTCTTAATTATCAACTGCATGTAGGTTCAATGGGCTTTTCTTGTCCACATTTCGAAATTATCTAGTAGAAACCGACCTTTGGAGTTGATCCAATATGTACATGTTATCGTAGTGTAGTTGGTAGCGCATTTTCTGTTATTGGGTCTGGTTCTCAATATTCTTGGCAGCAGTTGCTGGGGAAGGTAAACGGGGAGGGCTCGATTCTTTCTCTGAGGGCTTTACACTTGAGGTACTGTTAGTCGTGCTGCTGCCCAGTTCCACGCTAAAAACTGATATATCAGCACTTTCTGGTAGGGGCTGACCCATTAAGGGACCAGTGGGTGCACTCGCCCCCACTGAATTTCCAAATACATTTAACTTGGCTTTTTTAAATTTAAATTTTCAAATTTCTTTGATTTATTTCGCAATTTTTTGCTTTCTGGTGCCTCCTGTAAGGCTTCACAATAGATTTTGATAGGATGAAATGCAACTTCTATGTATTTCTGACGCTTGCCAATTTTTGTGCCAGTGACTCGAGTGAAGTTATTGTTACACTCTATTGGAGGACAGCCATAATCTCTTAGAATTCTCCACTCACATATCACATTGGTTTATTTGTGTTTGACTAAGAGCTATGATGCACCGATACAGACATTATATTCGATACGATATCGGATACGTCAACAAACAATTTTTCAAACAAATAAATACTGACACGATATGTCGCCTACGTGCTGATTAGATTCTTTAAAAAATTTCATTTATATAATATAAATTTAGTTTTACACTTGTTATTAGCTTTTCTTGTTGAAATCTTTTAAATATACCTATTTGTTATTTACAAATAGTTTTGAATTAAATATATATAATATTTTATTTTTTTATAGAAATGAAAAATGTTTATGGTAGAGTGTCCAAGGAGTGTCAGTATCAACACTTGTTGGACACGGACACGTTATCTTAGTTGAAATGTCCGTGCTACAGAGTAAGAGTGAATAGCTTAATGAAAGTACAGATATAAAATCTTAAGAAAGAGTAGATTCCTCATAAAAGTATTGCATTTACAGCAGATTAGTTATTATCAGGATTCGATATTTTAAACTCGATTGACAGTTCAGCATAACTTGTCAAAACCAAGTTTCTTTAAAACAAAAATCTTACCAGCGTCCTTTATCTCGAACTTTATATGCATTGCTCTATGTTCCTTGGCCTATTTGCAATGCCAAAATATTACTAGGCCTTCTAAATCAGGAATTTATATAAATTATCCATTATACTATCTAGTTCTGCCTAAAATTATCGATTAACCACTTAGATATACCACCCACGAGATCGACTATATACATGGATATTTTTCTTGTAGTAAGACTAGTTGGTGAAGTCACTTGGTCGAAAAAATGGGTCACATCAGTGCTCAAACCGGACGCTTGGGATGAAATTGGGCCTGATTCACACTGTATGCAGCTCATAGACCATAATAAGCCCACAAGATTGCGTTCAAAACAGAAGAGCCCAGTCTGGAAGTATAGAGGCCTTATTATTCAAAGCTCAATTTGTTTTTAATTTTTGTTTTAAGTGAATCGTGCATAAATCACCTTCACATATATGTATATTTCAAGAGTACTTGACACCACCACCACGCATCAGTCATTTGGAAATTGAGTGTTGGTATTTAATTAATCCGTTACACAGACTAAGTTTATTCTTACTTGTTGGAAAGCTAAATCAAGTTAAAACAAGCTTGTCTCAATGGACATGGCGCAGTGGTAAAGTATGAGAGTTTTTTACAGAATACTGGACGTTCGAATTTTCACAACAACTAATAGGCAACATTTATGTTAGAATGCAGATGTCTTGTAAAGGTAAAGTTATTATTGACTTGTCGTTTCTCCGGGAGTACTGTCCGCACATCATAAAAAGAGATCCATAGGAAGGAGAATTGTATTCCGAATGTCCGATTCAAGAGTGTATAAGTTGTGACCGCATTCAAATTTACTCGGGTGACGAACCAGGAGGGAAGACTGCCACTTCTCAAGATTAGTCGGGGGAAATTTGAACATTTGAGTCATTAAAAATAAAAATAAAATAAAAAAAGGGTTTAATATAGATGTGGAAGTTAACTCATTGCACAATTTGAGGACTCAACATGAGTATAACCCGAACAACCCCTCGAAAACAAGGTTCATAACATGAAAAATAATTAGTAGCTGAAGAAACAAGAAAATCAACTACTTTTTGCAATAGAATTGCAAAAAGGGCGTTGGATAAGTTTGATGCCGTTATACAATAGAATACACAGCATGATAAATAAGAATTATTTTTTTCTCTCTCTTTCTTTATCTAATGGAGATAGTGTTGAGTCGAAGATAGGCAGATAGATAGGCTTTTTTTCCACTCCTAACTTAGGGACCGTCTGATAGAAATTCTCTCAAAATTATTATCGAAAATCCTACCGTTGTAAAAGTCTGCTGCACAGACTTCAGCCGCAATAATTGACAACAAGTACTGGCAACCATCATCACATTATTTCAATTGCCAAAAATGCACTCATTTAATAATATTTAATGCATTTATTGAGGGGCACTCTCGTCTTTTCGCCAAATAATTTAATTGAATGGTACGAAGGCAGTCAAAAAATGCTGCTACAGTGGGGCCCCTTTTCCTGTATAACGTTCGGAATTATAATGAAAATTTTGGGATAATCTCTACCAGACAACCCCTAAGACTAGAGAACTTTGAATTACGTCTCCATTGAATAGAAAGAGATATTTAAATTGACAGTAGACAAATATATTTATCATTTTCGTCATCAATGCCTAACTGTATAATATCTTTGAAAAATACTAGATTTTATAAACATTGACTACAAAATATTTCTCTTCATTTTTTGTTCTATCCCATCTCGAAAAATTAAATTGAATAGTGGGTCATTTTCCTTGATTAATTTGTCAATTTTTGTGGGTGTGTCATTAAAATAGTTTGTCCCCATTTCTTGATATTTTGAGACACCTTTTCTTCATATTGAATGTTACATACAATATAGTATATGTACAATGCCCCAGGACACATCTCCAAGTGGTAAAAGGGGAGGGTGGAGAAATCCAGCTTTGCTTGAGGCTGCCGCGTCAAGGGTTCGAATCCTGAAATATGGATTTGGCTCTTGGGTAAGTGTAAGTGTACAAGCAGCCTTCCACCCTATACCCTTTGAGGCATAACCTGCGATTTACCTCCCTCACGGTGCTCCAGGACAGTGGCGGTGGGGGACCCTTAAGGTTGGGGTTCAACCTTTTTTTTAGTACATGTACAATTCATACAAAACAAAGATTGTTGCCATTTTATGTGGCCCACATGTGGGCCCCAGCACTATATATTAAAATTGCTAATAAAATCGGCACCGTCCATATTTAAATCTAGTCAATCAGCATGTAACGCTTTAATCATTTTTGGAATCTCTTTCTCGTTGCCCTATTAGCGTCTTTGAACGCAAGAGCCGATTAGTGAGAGGGGTCAATACAATTTCTTTTTATTAAATAATATGATGATACAATGTAAAATACGACAAATGTTCGGTTTGTTTATTAATATTTACAATGTTTACTTTCTAAATTAATCTCCAATGTTAATCTTCTTACGCAAAAAACGTGGAATAAACTTTTATTTCAAGGCTTATCTTTATTGTTGACCTTGACGCACATATAATTGGTGGGTATGTGTCCAATTCGGAAGGTTAAATGGTTCTGCTAGATGATCCTGATATATAATGATCCAACTCGAAAATAATTTAAGCACCCTATTTGAATAAGCTAAAAAAAATTAAAAATAAAAAAAATTAAATTTTAATAAAAGTTAATGAAATGTATAATTGAAAAAATAATGAAAGTTGTAAGTCTCATAAAATATATCGTTAAAAATAAATTTATGAAAAATGAGTTTTAGAAAATGAGAACCAAACAGGAAGTTAAATTGAAATTAGTCTGATCCCGTCTCGATTGATTCACAAGTTGGTTTGTCATAGTAGGTTGGTAACGTCAAGCTATAATTTTTAACTTGACGGTTCATGAGTATTGACATGATTAACTCTAATTCAGTTGGGTATGATAATTATGCATTTAATAACTATTGGGATCTTTCTCTAGAAACCCGATTGAGGATGTCAATCGGGCCCCCTTTCTCAGCGACGATCGAGATTTTATGAAAGTTAGCTTAGCTGGGACAGTATTGGGATTTCATTTCCTTATTTCTTATTTTGTAATATTATTTTTGATTCTCAGGAGCCAATAAAGTAACACGTGTCATGCATCGAACGGCTTGATTGGCAGATAGAAGTTCAGTTCCGTACCGACGTTAGTTATGACGGTTTACTGTTACAACCCAGTTTCTCCCGGCGTTACAACACTGCCAACGTGTCCACTTTCTATTGGTCATATCTTGATTAGTTCTTTATATCCAGATAATACGAAGTAATCCTCGGGTACGCGTTTCGAAGCGTGTGATAAACGTAAACCATGATAGGCTCAATCTGTTATATGTGTGCACCCCACCCCCACTCACATAGCAAATGCAGATTCTTGGTGTATATGACTATGACTTACAATTATATATCTATATATAGAGGGGAGTTTTCTTCAACCTTCAATGTTTTAGCCCTTCTTAAGTTCAATTCACATTTGCCCATAAAAAAATCTTCAACAACTTTCATTTTCTATCTCAAAGTAAGTTCTCGAATTCATTTTTGTTTTGGATTATTTGGGTTCTTGAAATTGGTTATGATACCTGCTATAATCATTGAATTTTCTTGAAAAGATCGATTGAATTATTTGTTTTGTGGTTTTACAATAGATATTGATCTCTGAAATGGATGCTAATTAAAATTTTATTCCTTTATTTAAGGGGAAAATTGTTTTTATTTTTTATGGCGGTGAAGACGAATGGATTTGTAGAAGGTAGTTTGTCTGATGAATTGATGAACCTGCTATTAAATTTGGCTTCAGAATGGGGAGATGTGTTTGATTCAAGTAATTTGAAGGTGATTCATTTGAGTGGTGCCATGACTAATGAAATTTATCAAATAAGCTGGCCAACAAAAATGGAAAATTTGCCAAGAACAGTTTTGATTAGAATTTATGGCGAAGGGGTCGAGCTTTTCTTCGACCGGGATGAGGAAATTCGCACTTTTAAATGTATGTCGACTCATGGTCATGGACCTAAGCTTCTTGGTCAATTTAAGGAGGGGCGAGTCGAGGAGTTCATTCATGCCAGGGTATGTGAAAATTAATTTCAATTTCATTCTAAGTTTTCCGGTTTTTCTTGTCTGGTAGAAGATATTTTTGCTAGCAGATGATGTCTATTTTTCCAGATTGATGGTGCCGTTTATTCCAAGAAAAAATGCCTTCTAAAAATTAGGAATTTTAGTCCTTGGTACCATGTGGAGTTTGTTTCCACTTTGAGAAAAAGATTCTAAATCATGTGTAAGTGATTAAAAGGAGCAGAATAAAGCAAATACGAATTAAAGCTTTGAGAATTTTGTCCTCTTAAATTTGTAAAATATTATGGAGGTGTTTGCAGTAGACAATTACAGTATACAGTTCGATAAGCAAAGCCATCGATCCAAAAACTCCAATGCTCTGGTTTTCTAGTTGGATACTTACATATGATGTCATATCGATGCGATAGAATGATGAAATTCTGTTAATCTAGTTGAAGTCAATTTACATTTTCAATCCTTGTAGAGAAAGGCTGAATGTGGCATGTGCGAATGAATGTGATCTTTTGAGCCACATAATTTTCAATGTTTTCTAATCTTATTTATGTTATGCTGACTCAGGAATCAGTCGATCTGAGTTTTTGTCTTTAGAGTTTTACTTCAACCTTCTTTGTCAAAGGTCGGGTTTATTATATTTTGAAAATTCGCTGAAAATTAATCATTTGGTCTCTTTTGCCATCTACTTTTGGCCTCACAGACTCTATCAGCTTCTGACCTTCGTGACCCAGAAATTTCCGCTCTGATAGCTGCAAAAATGAAGGAATTTCATTATCTTGATATGCCGGGATCAAAGAATGTAGTCTTGTGGGACAGAATGAGGTACCAATCTGCTACCAAATTAGTAATTGTTTGCATTAGAAGATTTTTTTTCAACTGACTTTATATCTTCTGCAGAAATTGGCTTAGCGAGGCCAAGAGTTTGTGCTCCCTGGAACATGTGAAGGAATTTCACTTGGATAAATTAGGAACGGAGATTGACTCATTGGAAAAGGCATTATCAGGTCACCACCAACAAATTGGTTTTTGCCACAATGATCTGCAATATGGTAACATAATGATTGATGACAAGGCAAAATCCATCACTCTAATTGTAAGTTCTGCTTCAATCCTTAAATGTATTTGGGAGAAATGATGAAATAATTATTTGCTACTGTTTATCGACCTTTAAAATTTTAAATTGTTTGCTACAATATCATTCTCCATGACACATTCACACAATAAAATATTCTACACACAAATCAATAAAATTTCTTTACTTTTTAACAATATATTCTCTAAAAAATACTATTCAAAACTCTTTAATTTTTCAAATAATGGGTGACAAACAGGGACATATTTACTCAGATGAGGAAACTATGTTCTGACTTCGTATGATTTTTTATTTCTTTTACAGGATTATGAGTATGCTAGTTACAATCCTATTGCTTATGATCTTGCCAATCACTTCTGTGAGATGGCAGCAAATTATCACACTGAGAAGCCTCATATCTTGGATTATAGCAAATACCCCGGTCAGTAATTTCAACTACCATGATTGGAATTTGTATGCAAGTTTTACTTGTTCTTTATCATATTATTCTTTCTCCATATGTCAAACTAGAACAGGATTAAGAGGTATAACTCAATAGTGATTGTTTGACATTTATATTTGGCTTTGGCAACAGATCAAGAGGAGCGTCTAAGATTCATACATAAATATCTCGGATCTACAGGTTTGTTCTCTACGTAGTTGTTTTGAATTGTACCAGATATTCGTGTTCGTGGTGTGACCCTTTTCATATATGTATTTTAAGTTTTCGACTGAGATATCATCGAAGTATTATACTTCCCTTTTGCCTTGTAGTGATCTTTAAATGGGAGAAAGGCCAATTATCCAACCTGGTCACGTCTCTTTTATTGCCTTTGATTTCTTGTTTGGTCAGTAGGGATAAAAATTGCTGCTACAGGGACCACATATTAAGACTAATCCATGTTAATCCTAAGTTACTTAATCCTTATCCAATTCTTGGCAATTCAACTAATGTTCATGCTTGACTGACTGAAAATGACCCTTTCAAGTTGAATTATGAGAACTTTTTTCACTGATGTTAGTTGATATATTCTTGAATTAAATTCTGATCCCTTTTTTAGTTCATGGTTGACTGACTGAAAATGACCCTTTCAAGTTGAATTATGAGAAAAATTTTCATTGATCTTAGTTGATATATTCTTGAATTGCATTCTGATCCCTTTTTTTACGAGGGTTAAATAAATAGAGAAATAGGCAAAGCAAACACAAATTTATAGTGGTTCACCTTCAATACGAGAGCTGCATCTACTACTCTATGCAGTTTTTTCGCTGTAATGGAGAATAAAGAACAAGTCTTTCTTGACGCGTCTCACACACCAAAATATCCTTGATATTTTTATAATATTAGGACTGTAATATGATCAAGCTCGAGGTGATAAGCATACAGTGTAAATAGGTTTCTCACGTTCCAACATATATGAGTTAACATTTCAATAATGTATGCAGGCCATCAATCCAGTGACGCTGAAGCAAAGCAGCTCGCAGACGATATAGAGAAGTTCACTCTGGCAAACCATATCTTCTGGGGATTGTGGGGGTTAATCTCGGTAATCGTTTTTCATTTTATTTTTCCTTCTGTTCTTTTTATGTGTAAATAAGTGAGGATTCAATATGTGTGCTTATTTTTGGACTCTGCAGGCATATGTGAATCATATTGACTTTGATTATATGGAATATGCAAGGCAAAGGTTTCAGCAGTACTGGCTGAGAGATCCTGAAATCTTGAACAATTGAAGAGACTTCCAACTCCCTGGATGGTGTTAACGTTTGTTCAGGAAAAAAAAAAAATGAAAAAAAGAAGAAAAACAGAGGGCAACGGTGATACCCAAATTATGTATAGAAATTTAATTTTCTTCCTGTAACAATGTTCGGTAGTGTGTTTCTTACATTGATGAAATGTGTAGACTAGATGAAGCCCTATTGAATGAAATGGGAATCTTGTTTACCTGGTGAGTTTTTTAATGATTCTATTCTCTAGATAATTTGCAATGAACCTTTATTCATAAAGTCTGTGATGCTTAAAGTGCTTGATTTGGTTGAGTTTCGTATTTGATGGTCAAGAATGAAAGGTCTTAAAAAGTGGGATTTTGGAATGATTGATGGGGGATCTATTTCCTCTTGGAATATAGTCCAAGAAAAGCTATGTTCATTGGAAGAGATTATGACATATGCATGCTTTATTTTATTCCCGATGTTCCTTTGATGCATTTTTAGTTGAATTCAGAGAGTGCCCGCCCTTCACTTTTTAGGGTTCGACCCATGTTCGTGCAAAAACATTGCAATAGCAACCAATCCAATTCCAACATAATTAAGCATCATTTAAAATATTGAACATACAATTTTTATGGGAAAATTGATTAATTTACGAAGATACAAATGACTGTCGGCACTATCCAGCGCATTGGATAACAAAATTTATGTGCGGTACAATCTATTTCAAACACATATTATGAGGATAACGAGAATACACACTTAAAACAATTATAAACTAACCAAAATATACAACCTTAATGGTACGTTGCTAAGGAAGATTATAATAATGTTTATTACTTCATGACGTATCCAGTACTTTATACTATGAATATGCTCCAGCTTACAACATTTTGAATATTTTCATGTATTGACCGTACTTAACGCTCCCGATATGATGCATCCTGCTTCAACAAGCAAACAAACGATAATAATTTAGCTCAGTGTCAATGTTATGATTGACCAATAATCTGCACATAGATTGGGACAAAGAATTGTCTGGTAATATGGTACAATACTCACCTCTCCTAATCTTAACATGCTAATTCCATGACAGATTCCGATCTCGCTCTCTTCAACTTCGGCATCAGTCAAGGTGAGTGCTCTTTGCAACTTCCTCGAAGAAAATTCTTCAACGTCCACAGTAAAAGAGGCACTCACAGGCCGGTGATCAGATAGCATAAGTTCGGTCCTCCCATAGCTTAGCAATCTCATGCCCGTCCCAAAGGAAAGAATACGATCACACCTGAAAAGATAAAAAAAAAAAAAAAAAAAAAAAAAAAAAAAAAAAAAAAAAAAAAAAAAAATTAAATGTAAAACACTTCAAGAAACAAAAGAAATCTTTTAAGGATGAAGTATATGTTGACATTAGTGGAGCGGGCACAACACACACACACAAAAAGCTGATATTGGAAGAGAAAAAAACAAAACCAGAGAAACAAGTAGAATTATCACAATTTGAATTGGACTTGATAGATGGTTCAAGACTACTAAAGGGAAGGGTGCTAGAAACAAATTATTTGGATGTCTACAAGATCAGAGACTTTGCATCATAAAGAACGCCACTAAGATATATACGTACCATGCAGGAGTTCGCCTCCCAGCCCTTGGATCCTCTCCATGATAAGACTTGGAATTTGTCTCATATTTGTAAGTTGGTGCAAAGTTGAGAGTACCTTCAGACCATCCATCAAATGCACGACCTTTTCTGAACTCACTGCTTAGCTGCCAATGAAGGAATTTTTCGACATATTATGGTACAAACTACAACGTATAAGACAACTCCACATTAAATGAACATTAATTAAGACAAAATACATGTCAAAGGTAAAGTTAAACATAATTATTGACATCATTACATTTCTCAATGCTATTGTGTTTGTCTTCTTTTGTTAAGTTGTATGAATTTAGGTGTCAGCAAATAGTGCAGAAGATTCTAGTCCTTAGTCAACATTTCCACAAAAGTATATGCTCATAATACTGAGCAGGACTTGAATATTAATTATTCTATCAATTAAAGAAAAGTCAAAAAATTCAAGTTTCACCTGATCATACTTAATTAAGTTGGACCAGTCCTTTTTGGAGATCAGCTCTCTTGTTTTCTCATAGGACAAATTGATGCGATAATTTAGGTCACCCAGCCAGATTATTCTCCTGCGACCAGATGAAGGTCATTTGAGCAGAGCTAGTAATATGAAAGTTGCAAATAGTAAGTGATCGTTTGCACATTCATATTTACAAGTACAATTACTGGTCTACTAATTAGATCCTATAACCAAAAATATATGATACAACAACAACCGAAGTCTTGCTACCAATCAAAGTGAAAAAAGTGTCCAAATACTTACGAAAATTGAAAGACATTTATATTGCCTTGAATTCAAGATCAAGAAGCAAATGGCATGGCATCAGAGACTTATCATAGGATAGTCAATCATCATCCAAGATGTCCCAATTCTTTTACTTTTCCATTTTTTGACAAATTCATTGATGCAGATTACTTTCAAAGATAGCAACCTAGTTTACTTAGAGTTACCACGTACCTCCACAAATATTGGAAAGAAAAGGGGGAAAAAAGTGAAAAGAACTGAGGAAAGGATTCAATTTACTTACTCATGGTCATAGATGCTCTTAGGAAGTCCAATAGCAGAGAGTGAATTGAAACGTGTCCGTCTATGTATTTCATGAACATCAGCACTTCTTTTGACTGCATCCCAATCTTTCTCACCAGACGTTAGGTGAGTGCAAACAAAACAGAAGAGCGTTTGATATATAGACATGCTAACTGATATTGATCCCTGAAAGGAAAAAATGATAGTATTGATATACGACGAATTGGAATCTGATACATTCACTTCATAATCAATTCTGTTGATATCTAATATGTAAAGAACGACTATCTGAGCATGATCCGATGTGTTTAGAAATCAGCTTTCAAGATTCCACTTGTACACGTTCATCCAGTACAACAAATAAATAAAAGATAGAAATGAACACTGACTAAAACAACAAGAAGCAGGAATCATGTCAAACATAAAGTGAATGTGAAGCTACTTTGGTTCTCTATCTTAACTGTCAAACTGTAGAAATGAAAGATGAGAAAGGTAAACTGGAGATTCCAGTTCAAGTCAGATTTACCCACATAATAGCCAATTAACAAGGAAACCAATTTGGTGGTTATTTATTTCAATGTACAAAAGGAATGACCATGACACAAGCAAAAAGAATGGCTCTAATTACCCTGAATCAATTTTAAGATTCCTCATGATGCTCGATTAGCTCTACTAGGAATCTAATGTACTAATACATGACTTTAAATAATGGGAACATTAATAGCCCCCTTGGTTGAACACAGACCTACAACTCTTTGTTTATGGTCATTCATTATTAGATGCATAACTTGCAAGAAAGTTATCCATTGTTTACATTCCAGATGTCTGTGGTTCATATTTTGAATCAATGGTGAAAGCAATGTTCACGGAATAATTTTCTTCCATGTTTTACCATGAGAAATTCCAAAATATACAACAAATGAAATAGGATATGTTGACAAAACAGACATATTTACCAAAAAGCAAGCTAAGATACAGAGGAAAGAACACACCTTGTTGCCTATGTAACCCATGACGCCAACACCAACAGTAGAGACATTGAGGTGCTGTATATGCCTTCGCAAGCTCCGGCGGACCCATATGGTAATAAGTATACCAACCATTTGCTTGCTTACTATCCTTACATATGGGGGCTTTCTTTTACGATTTATTAGGGATTCAAGGTCAACTTCAATGAGTGAAGCTATATCAGATCGCATTCTATTTTCACTGTTCTCATTTGACTTAAAAGAACTATATGTTCTAAAAGATTTGTAAGCTTTGAAAGATTTCGTAGATGTTAAGGAATTTGGTCTTTCAAAACTTTGCTGAGACAGAAGATCTAGTGGTAGCTCCGGCCAGCTTAAACCTATCCTTTCTGTGCTACTAAGTGTTTTCGTTAATTTATTGATATAGTGGGTAGTTCGAGGCTCTCCATTTTCTTCTGAATCATCTGTTCTAAAGCAGTTCAATCGGTTGAGCCTCTTTGGAGAATCAAATTCTTGTTGCTCCTCTTTGGACACCAAGGCATCAGCATCAACGAAATTTTCTCCTCCAACTATTCCATCCTTGATTTCATCAAGATTGTTCGGTTCTTCATCCAATGGGTAGATTTCCTCCTCTAAATCACTGTCTGATTCAAATAAAATTTCATCCTCAATGTCTGGGGTATCTTCAGATGGCTTAAACCTGGATGGAGAAGCAGGATCACTATAGCATTTAAGCTTAGTCACTGGTGGAATTCTGTTCAGATTTTCACGAATTATGTTTTCCCACTTTGAAACTGGACGACTATCTTCAGCACCAAATATGTTTCCAGCATTTAATGGTATAATCTCCTGAAGGCTGTAGACAGAAAGTACATAGAATAACGAGAACTGATTCCGTATAAGATACTTAAGTTGAATCATGGTTTCAATTGAGCAACTCACCCAATTACATACAAGTCGGCGGGATCATTAATATCTAACCAATCATCAAGATCTAGGTCGTCTGAAGGAACTCTTCCGCCAACATTCCATGTGGCAGCACATATTCTAGCAAGGAAAAATACAATAATAAATAAATTAAAACCTCGCTACACGTTAACTCTACCAAAAAATCCAATGATGTTTTGCTCATTAACCTCAGCAATAATCAGCCCCAGTTTGTTCTTCAAAATGTAAAGAATTACCTGATTTTCTTATTGTTTATATACTGAGATCTAAATGTCTCTGAATTTCGTCTTCTTAGCCTGGGAAGAGCCTCTGGGATAGTATGCATAGCTATATAGATCACAGATCACAAAAAAGTTCATCCAAAAGCAAGTATATTGATGGAAAAATTTAACAATTTGAATTTTGAACAAAATCTTATTACCATTATCATCGATCTGAACTTCATCGCTTTTCTCCTTCTTAAATCGTGATTCTCTCGGCCAATCACAAGTTTCTGTAAAATCCCAAGGAAAATTGAAATAAATACAAACTGAAAATTTTGAGAGCTTGTAGAATAGAACAGCATTTACGGAAGTAAACTAAACCTTGGTCAGAATCTGAGCCGGAGTCAGAATCGGCAGTGTAATCGGAGTTCTTGGCGTTGATGTTGAGTAACTTGCGCACAACGACGCGAGGCCAAAAAGGCTGCAAGCACGTGCAACCAAAACACCAAATTTCAACCCAATATTCCTGCAATCCTCTCAATTCATGCAAAATATAAAAAGAACAAAAGTAAATTATGTAACCGTACCTCCGGTTGCTGGCGTCCGCGTCCGGTGGCGGCGGTGGTATTCTGCTTCTTCATCCTTTAAACAGATTGTACTCGTCTATAAAATAAGCAGATTATGAAAAGAGATTTTATTTATTTATTTATTTTTGGAAATGTATTGGAGGTGGCGGGGCTTTTAACGACAAACCACCAATTCATCATTCAACTTGTATTAGTTCTGTTTAGCCTAATTGGTCCGACTATTGGATTAGGCATTCGGTGATTAATAATTAATTGATATTAAGTCCAGTTTGGTAGCAATTTTTCATTCCAAAATATTATATTTTTTACTGCTATTTTACTATTTCAACCGTTATTTTTAATTTTAATATTAAATTTTTTACTGTTAATTTTTTTCACTCATAATCACTGTCGAACAAGTTTTAAGATAATACCTTAACAATTATAATTAGGATTAGTGATTGAGATTATTGAATTCAATCCAGCTATTGTCTAAATGATTAATAAAGTTTGATTTGACTACATGACACAAATTGAATTTTTATAAAGTCACCGGTCAATATTATTTTTATAACAACGTGTTTACGGATAGAACTTCTATTTCTACTTTAACTTTTTGCAAGACAATTTTTTTTTTAAGAAAGTTACGTTATATTGACTTTTTTTAAAATACTTTTAACTAAATAAAATAATTTTGCAAAAACTATTTAAATATATTTAAAAGTGTCTTTTTAATTTCAAAAACAATTTTAATTTTTCAAAAGTCTTGTCAAACAATCCTAATAACCCCTAATTGAATTGTTTGGGTCTAATATGTCGTGCAATACTGTAATAAATAGCGTAACATTGAGAAACTTAACCCATGTTTGGCCCCCATTACGTTGAAAAATTAATGGGTGGAATAATATTTTTTTGAAAAATGAGTGGTTTAAAGAGAAGATAAGATTTTCGATTGACGTATAATATTATTTTATGAAAGATTGTGTGGTTAAAAATAGAAGAGAGAAAAATAAAATTTAATGGAATGTAAATTAATGGAGATCAAATGGAGGCTTAGTTTCGAAAGAAAAAATTTTAAATAAAAATAAAAAATAAAAACACCGATCACGCAAGATTCCAGGATTGACTTATCGAATGGTAGGTCACAATTTTAAGTCGAAGGGATTTTTGATAAAAATATTTCATTAGTTTGGACTTGGTGCTAAATGATAAACATAACGGGCGGCTATGTTCAACCTCCAAAAATTAGTGGCTTGCAACTCGGGTAGGATTATTAATTTTTTAACCTACCAATCGTATTGTAATTTAATCATTAGTTTCTTGGACTATGGCAAAAAAACAAAATCATTTGACTTTTAAGGTGGTTGGAGGTGATTTCAGATTTGGCAAACTGCGTCCGCGTGTACTACAATTTTTACCTAAATTTTATCCGGAAGATTCTAGATGTATATAATTTTTATCCATAATAGTGTCCATATCTCTCATATGAGGTGGGGTCCACAACTTTTGTCGTCCATGCCTCTCACATGAAGTGTGGCCCACAACTTGTGATGGGGCCAAAGTTGTGGATCCCACTTCATGTAAGAGGCATGGACATCTTGATGTACAAAAATTATGTATATCAAGAAAAGTTCAATTAATCCAAAGTGGATTCCACTTTTGACGAAGAAATGTTTCCAACATTATATTCACATAGTGTGGGTGCATAAGATTGAATGAAACAATTAATAAATTTGATGGGAAAAAAAGGAACTTATCAGAAATGAAAAATTAGTGCTTATTTGGTATAACTTCAAAAGTTGAGATAAAGTAAATAATTAATTTGAAATTTACAATTTTTCTTTTCAACTTTTCACAAAATATTTCATCAACTTTCACCATATTCTGTTAAAACTTTTATTAAAAGTTCATCAAAATTAATATTTATTTATTTAAAAAAGTTAAAGAAGGAGCCCTAGTTGAGTAACAAAATTAATATATGTTTATGTCATTGTTAAAAACGTGGTGGGGGTATTTTTTGCATATTTTATTTGGCGGCACCTCTCCTTATAAATCTATAATATTATGTTAATTATTTATTTATCCTAATATTTATTATATATATAGAAGACTTCACATCAGGAAGTTACAAGGGCTCGTAGTGCTTTCACTTAGGGTCTTTTTAATTGGATATTCATAGAGTTCTCATTTAGAACTCGTAAAGCTTTTTAATTAGGACTCATACAATCCTATATGATTCTCGGTTAGGGGATTTTTGTCCCAAATGTGACTCATAGTTAGGGCTATCAATGGATCGGATATGAAGCGGATCTGTCCAAATTCGGTCCGATCCATTGAGAAAAATTATCTGATCTGATCCGATCCGATAATCCAACAGATATTTGATTGTTAAATCCATGTCCGATTTGCTATGTTATTGAATATCCGATCCAATAATCCGATCTGAATTTTTTTCCACCAATTTTTTCCCAAAAAAATATTTTAACTATCTTGATAGGCTCACCTAAAATATTAGAAGGCACAAATCAATTTTTTTTATCAGGTGATGCTCTTTTAGTTCCTCTTAAAGAAGATTTCTCTTGGAATGTTTTAATAATCTTCTTATATGAGATACTACATTTTTAAAGGGTACTTCTCTTCTAATGTTTTAGTGGTCTTTCAATGTAGAATACTACTCAATTGTCAATTCTAAGTGTTTACTAGTTTATTTTATTATTTTCACTAAAAATCATAGTATTAACAAAATTAAAATAAAAAACAATATCAATTTTAACAAAGTAAATTATTTTTGGACATATTAATTATTAGTTTTTGATGTTATAAACAAATTACTATAGTTATTTTTATCTTATTTTAATTAATAAAAAATTAAACCTTTTTGAATATTTCAAGTAAAAATATTATAATATTATCTAATATTATTTATTATTTGAAAATTATGCGTAACGCATAATATAAGTTTCAAAATGGAAAAAATTATGTTTAATAAATTATGATATAAAAAATAAAATATATAATATTATTATAGCAAATCGGACCGGATTGTTATCGGATCGGATCGATATATATCCATATTTGCTCCATTCAGTTAACTAATTATCGAATTCGGATCTTAATCAGATTATCGGATTGAAACCTTAAATCCATCTTCCGTTAATTTCATCGGATTCGGATCAAAATTCAATACATTAACAGCCCTAATCATAGTGCTCTCGGTTAGGGGTAAACACGTGTGATTTACTAGTTCTAAATAAAATCTTCTCTTGGATGAAGGAAAAAACCCTAAAGTCCGAGGAACTGACATTACGTGGGTCACATCATTTAAAAGCTTAAACAGTTTGTGGCTCAAATTTCGACCTGTCAGTACACAATTAAGGGTTCTTGATAGTATATTCTATTTATCTTTTCTTCCATGTTGTATTAGGGATAATACACCTAAAATAACTGCAGAAGATAACTTCATCTGTACCTACTGGGAAGGCAATGCTATTAAAATATTTCAGTACTTATTTGAACTCTTTGACCCTTGTTCAACCATTTCACAGTTCATGGCACAAATGATGAATCAGAAATCTAAAAACTAGAACTCAAGATAATCTTGAATTTAAGGGTTCGGAATTATTACCAGGAAAGTCAACCTTTAACAAGGTAATAATGCCACTACATATACCATATATTGTAACCTTAGAATTCGAAAACTATATATTGAAGGGAACGTTAAACTTTGTTAGATGAAAACTTTGTGTAAGCAAGACATATAGCAGATGATAATTATATTGTGGAGATAGAGCGTACCTGCGAGGTTCTTCGAAAACTGCGGTGTAATTAAAAGACTATTAAAGGGAAGCTCAGATTACAAACTCGATGTTACTATTCTTGAACAACTTGGAATCGATCTTTATTTTGCTAAAATTGAGGTTATTTCTGTTCCTCAAATTGGGATTCTCAGGAACAAAAAAGGGAAAACAGTTTTGTTTCTCAAATGGAGTGTCTGTCCAAACGAAGAAAACGGATCCCACGCCGGAGTATTTATTTCACGCCTCATCCAACCCATTTCTGCCATGTAGCCTAATTATTAAGTGGCTTTTAAATTATTTTAAATAAAGCTTTTCACGTTTTTTGTTAATGGAATTCAACTTTTCGTACACAGTGTAAATGAAATAAACGGTCCAAAAAATTTGAGATAATAATTTATTTCAAAAAACTCTTTTACCTCATTCGGTTGCTTCGATCACAGGTTTATCTTATTTATTTTTGTCTATGTAAAATAGTTGGGTTGATATAGATGATGTTGGGAATGATGCACTACATGAATATGATATATTTCACAATATTAATATAAGTTGTTTTTAATTGATCATCGAGCAAGCGGATAAGTATCTTCGATCACTTTGAAATAATATAAGTCAAGTGCTTTGTTTGTGAAGCTCAATGAGACACGACTCATATTTTAATCGAATTAAGTTCGTGACAAGTGTACAATAGTTAGCATACTATTGCAGACTCGGGGTTCCATCCTATAAGGTCAATATTGTTGAGAGAAGTAGTTCAATACCTTATAAGTTGGTCTATATTTTTATCTTTATTCGATGTGGGAATATGTCCCTTAATATGCCCCCGCAAGATGATGACTCATTTGAACAGACCAATCTTAAAATTCGTATGCTCAATTATTGAGTCTTATTGGGATCGAATATCTCATTTGAGTTTAATGGGCTCTGATACCATGTTAAAACTTGGGGTTCCATATTAAAAAGTCAACTTTCTTAAAAGAAGTAGCTCAAATTCTTATAAGTTGGTTTATGTTTTCATCTTTATTCGACATAAGATTTTATACCTTAACATGCTTCCACAAGATTATGGGTCATTTTGAATAGATCAATTTTGAAATTCGTGTGCTTATTTATTGAGTTTTAATTGGATTGAATTGCTCGTTGGAGTTTAATGGACTCTGATGTCATGTTAAGACTTGTGGTTCCATCTTAAAATATCAATATTTTAATAGAAGTAGCCCAAAATCTTATAAGATAGTTTATGATTTCATCTTTATTCGATGTAGGACTTTATCCATTAACACTTACAAGGTCATGTCGACTATCCCACTAATAGGAGTGAGAGATAGTCTTAATCGTATCATAGTGTTTTCTAAGTAATGACATTAACACAATGGATCATTTATAGTATGATTGCTTGGAAAATTAAATTCTACGTTATCTAAGTATGGATTATCTAAATACCATGAAAAGATGATAAACACTATTAGTAAGTTAGAAGGTTAGTTGAGGTGGATGCACTTCAACCCTTGATTTGAATTCCACCTCAATCCCTATTTTTAAACAGATCCCCCGTCTTGTTTGAGTGGCAGGGTTGATGGCATGAGCATGACAAATTAGAGGACATAATTACATAATAATATAATTTTCTATGATTCTATATAATTTGATAGTGCTCTCGCTCCTTAATGGAATGATCAGAAATTTTTTATCTCCATTTTTCTTCTAAGTCTCGATTTTTCTTGTTTTAGGGTTATTAGGTTTGTGAGTTTTTAGCATCTGCCCAGTCAAAACAAGCAGCACGCAAGTTTCTGGCTCATTATCTCGTTTAAAAATCTGAAATAATTTTCCAAACCCTATTCCGACTCATTATCTTCGTTTATTGACTTAATCATTAAAGGACTATCCCTACACCATTTTCAAATTCTGTCATTAACGTAGAATCACTGTCAAGTAAAATGCCAACAAACATTGAAAGCAACTTGAAAATTGAAAATGACTTCAACGACAATAATTATACAACTTTCTAGACATAAGATAAACACTTATTATCCATTTTCCACTTAAGATTTTGTCCAAGAGCATACACCATCCAATTAAAAAACTGTTTGAAAAAATAAAAAAAATACAATTTGTCTGCCACATTAATTTCTGATCATAAACAGTGACTTACTACTATGTATATTGAGGAAGACTAACAAATATTTTGAAATATTTCTATTGATAATTTCTCCTAAGGTGATTTGTTGAAGTTCAAGAACAATTTTTTTTTTTATTTCTACATAAAGTTTCGAGTAAAAACTATAAATAGAGTTCGAACCTCCACCTTCTACACGAAAAATTCTCACCAATACCGTTCATCCCAAATAATCTAGGCTCTTAAAACAATGTTTATAATAGAGTATTGAATAGTAGACAATACAATAAATAATTTTCAGAAACATCTTGATTCATTCATCTGTCAACTTATTTTTTGATAAGTTATTTCACGCTGATCTAATAATATCGGTCCACCCCCTACTAACCCTTTAATCGATAAGGATTATACGTATAAACAACACAATAAAATAATGGAAAATCTTAGAAAAAATTTGTGCAAGAATCAGCTGGGTAAAAAATGCAATCCATGTTAATTATATGGACAGGCAAATGCCAAGTGTATAGCAAATCTAACATCATGTGGGGTTTCTCTAGAAGAATTGATTCTCACTGATTAAGTTAATTAATTAAAAGTCAAAAGTCTGTGAATTTATTTAATTTCTAAGTGCATTTAACAAATAATTACTAAAGCAATTATTTACACTAAATTATATTTTTGCGATTAACATTATGCGAAAACCGGAGTAGATCTCACATGGTTTGCTAAGTGAACAAGTAGCAGTTTGGTTTTCCCGACGAATTTTTCTAATACATTGGAGCATCTATGTATTAGAATATATTTCCTAAACAAAACTTGTAATGGTCTCCGCGATTGGTGGGTCGGGATATTGAAATATTATATAGAAATGTTTTCGGTTATATTATAGTGTTATTTGTTCGCTACAAGATGCACCAATTGCACGTTGTTAAAGGGGTATATTGCAACGTTCAGCAAATGTATGTTGTCATTGATTGACTAAATTGAGTTTTAACAACGTTTTTATAAAGAATGTTGCTGATATACCCTTTTGCAACGTTCAAAGTCCGTTATCGTTGAATTTCTTTTTGCAACATGCAATGCTTATTGTTATTAAAGCTTTAACAATGTGCGGTATGCATTGCCGTTATTTTGTTTAACAGCACATAGTGCATCTTGCCATTAGATATTTTAGCAACGTTCTTTGAACATTGTCATTAAACTTTTATCAACGGTCATTGCAAGTTGCGGTGAAACATTTTGGGCCCAACGGCTTTTTTTTTTTTTTTTTTTTTTTAACCCTATTTATAGCCTAACCGAGTCGATTACCCGTTAGCCCAATCAACAAATTAACCCATTGCAACCCATACCATTCCCCCATTGAGAGTCGTATCATTTCTCTTTTTCACGCACTAACCCTAGAACTCTCTTTCGTCATACCTGTTGAACGATACTACCGCTCCTCTGCCTCCAGTCTACTAAGTCTCAGTCGATTTAGTGGAGTGCATTTTTTTTTTTTTTTACTGTGAAATTCTAGGGAAGATGGAAATGCTTTTCGTGCAAGGAGGAGTACGGGGTACGTGATGCCGGCACGTGTAGGGAGTGCTACGAGGAGGCCGATGAGACGGAAGAGGAGCTAAAGCATGAGATCGATGACCTCTAGGCCAAGTTTAATTTCCTCCAGCTTCTGATTTCGAATCAGAACTCTACCACTAAGTAACAAATAATATCCTTTTGATTCGGTTTAGATTAAGAAAATCAAATTTGTGTGTGGATTTACTTGTGCCTATATAGAGCTCGAGTCATCCTTATCTAGTTTGAATATCCTTGCGAAGACATATTTTGCCTACCTCCCTTCCGAGACTTACAAAACAGTAATTGCTTTGAAGGATGCTACTGCTATTGGGTTTATTTAGTCCGTGAATCAAAGAGCCTCGACCTAAAATAGTAATCCATGTTAATTTGTTGACAATTAGACTTGCATGTTAAATGTATCTATAATGCTTTTCTTTTAGTAGTTAGTGGTCTTTAACTTATAGAATTGAGCAATAGTTCTTATTTTTTACCTGGCAAGTCGATCAGTTTAGCAGATCAACCTACAGCTCAATTTGAAGCATTTAACTTGCCTTTCAAGTAGACTAGTTCAATAGGAGGCTCCTAGCCTGCATGTACAAAGCACATTTTTATTTTATAGAAAGTACATTAGGTGGTCCATTGTAGGAGGATTTAGGTAACGTGACCTATAAGATTTTATAATATGTTTGATAAAAACCATTGTTCATGTAAATCTCCAGTGGTCCACTATCATGACACCATTCATAACGTAATTGTTGGGTATTTTTTTGGTAAGTGATACCCAAATCCCCTAGGCAATGATGAAAATCGAGGCCCGTTTAACTTCATAGGCTATAAGCCTAATATTGAAGAACATATTCAACCCACGCCACAATTGATGTAACCCAATTGTATTGGGTATTTGGAGGAAATCAGCCCATTGGGCTAGATGCTCAATACCCGACTATGGAGATAAATGAAATCACAAAAGATAGAATTGGTTGCAAATAATTATCTTGTGATAATTATCCTATCCCTACTGTTTCTGTTGGACTCAAATTTAAACTTCCCTGTTATCTTGGAGATTTGATTTCCCTCGTGATAATATACAAGAGTTTTAATATATCCAAACACTCAACCAATTTGAATTAAATAGAGACGCCGACTGCCTTCTTCTTCCAAGCGTGAGAACCTTTCTTCCTTCTCTGTGAAAACCCAAATCGACCTTTGTGGTGTGCCTTTGTGTGCCTTTTCTTCTTCGTGAATGAAAAAGTCTCCCAATTGAAGTTACCTTTGTGGTGTTGGGTTGAAGATTTCTGAGCCGAATTAAAAAGGGGGATTTCGTTTCATTTTCTTCCATTAAATTTCAGTTCACTGCCTTTTTTTTTTGGTTCCTTGACTTCCATTAGATTTATTTTGATTTAATCCTTCATTAACCATTGTTGTGTGGTTGCAGGTTGGATTAACAACAACAAATTGCTCTGATACCAATCTCCACCTTGATACCAAATCATCCTGCAAGTTAGATAAGATAACAAGTAACTTAAAGAAAAAAAGAACTTACAAG